GTACACCTTAATTTATTTTAATGTGTAGCTGCATGATATACGTTTTAAAATATTTGGTTGTGTTTTGTGAATTATTATAGATTATTACTATTGCGCACCAATTTACTGACTTATTATTGGGAATTTCTTTACCATGATTTTCTGGTTTCTGCGTGGATTGATTAGTCACACAACCTAAATTTGGGTGAAAATACTCGCACTTTAAAACTGTTTTTTTCAAAAGTCGGTATATTTTCAGTTCTTAATACTGTGTATTGCCCTCTTTAGCATCAATGACAGCATGCAGTTTTTTGTAATAGTTGGTTGTTTGGTCATCTTGCATGAACCACACTTCTTGTTAAGGGCAAATGCAAATATTACAAGTTTTAGAATGAAATGTATTTCTTAAACTGTGTACTTTGTCTTTAAGAGATATTGCAAACTGACAAGGTGTTAGAATGGAACATATTGGTTTTCATATAATGTTTCTTTAATAAATGACCTCTTACCCATATTCAGTGAATAAGATGTTCAGACTTTAAGACGCCATCTTGTCTTAAGTTAGGGATAGTGATGTCCCGAACGGTTCGCCGCGGACAGCGAACATATGACCCTGTACCTCACAGTCAGCAGACACATTCCAGCTAATCAGCAGCAGACCCTCCCTCCCAAACCCTCCCACCTCCTGGACAGCATCCATTGTGAAGCTGCATTCTTAGTGAGCTGTCCAGGAGGTGGGAGGGTCTGCTGCTGATTGGCTGGAATGTGACTGCTGACTGTGAGGTACAGGGTCATATGTTCCCCGTCCGCGGCGAACCGTTCGGGACATCACTAGTTAGGGAATTTCCGATGACGTGCACTTATGTTTTAGTTATGGCCTTGTATTTTTGCCAAGTTAATAGAGGTCCTAAAATAAACATGTTAGAAGACACAGAGAGGAGATTTGGAGACACACTCAGTCGCTCCATATAATGACAGAGATGTTGACATGTTCAAAAGGACATGTTATTCTATTTAAAATGATATTTGCAAGCATCTAGTTTAATTTTATAAACTCTGCTATAAATTATTGTAATTGATTTTATATGTCTATATTTATGTTTTTATAGAATATCTAAAAAGACAAAACTTTATTGCTTCCAAGACAATCCTTATTTTATATTGTATTCTCAATTATTTTTTAATGTTAAATAGAGGATCTCTTACTAACTATATAATATTATGGCTAAGATAGCTGTATGGTTAGCCCTGCTAAGTTATATGCTGTAAGATGTTATAGTGGTAAATAAGGGAACCAGCTGCGGTTACAGTTTGAGATCACCCCAGAGTTGCTTGATGATAATAAGGTAAGGAGACTGATGGCCACTCTAGAACCTTCACCTTTTTCTGCTGTAACCACTGGGTCAACTTGGTCTTGTGCTTATGGTCATTGTCATGCTGGCAAGTCCAAGAGTGTCTGTCAGTACTTTCTGATAACATGCTATATTCGTCTTGCCATCAATTTTCACAAGATTCCCCATGCCTTTGGAGCTCACCCCCTCAGCCCCCCAAAAAACCATCAGTGAGCCACCACCATGCTTCACAGTGGGGATGGTATTCTTTGACCCCTCTCCAAATACAGCGCTTATATTGGTTACTATAAAGCTCTATTTTGTTCTCGCCACTCCATATGACAGTGTGCTAGAAGCCGTGAGGCGTGTCAAGGTGTTGTCGGGCACATTGTTACTGGGCTTTTTTGTGGCATTGGCGCAGTAAAGGCTTCTTTCTGGCAACTCGACCATGCAGCTTATTTTTGTTCACCCATCATCGTATTGTACTCCTTGAAACAACCACACCGTCTTTTTCCAGAGCAGCCTGTATTTCTTCTGAGGTTAGCTGTGGGTTTTTCTTGTATCCCAAACAATTCTTCTGGCAGTTGTGGCTGAAATCTTTCTTGGTCTACCTGACCTTGGCTTGGTATCAAGAGATCCCAGAATTTTCCACCTCTTAATAAGTGAATGACCAGTACTGACTGGCATTTTCAAGGCTTTGGATAATCTATGTCCTTTTCCATCTTTATAAAGTTCATTACCTTGTTACGCAGTTCTTTTGACAGTTCTTTTCTGCTTCCCATGGCTCAGTATATCCACGTGAGAGATAAACTCATTGACAATCAAACACAGACACCAATAGCAATTTAAAAAGCCACAGGTGTGGGAAATTAACCTTTTATTGCCATTTTAACCCATGTGTGTCACCTTGTGTGTCTGTAACAAGGCCAAACATTTAAGGGTATGTAAAATTTTGATCAGGGCCATTTGGGTGATTCTGTTATCATTATAATTTTAAAATAAGTCAAACAACTATGTAAACATAAATGGCTTCATATGATCACTATCCTTTAGTAAAATACATTTTTGCATGATCAGTCATATTTTCAAAATCAGTGCCAACATTTCACAATTTCTGTCATGGTATGCAAACTTTTGAGCATAACCGTATATGTGTACGGGGGAGGAATGATGACTGCTTGTCTTCTCCTCTCTATATGCTGAGAAATGCAGTAGAATTAGAATTTTGATGTGCCAGGTGTGACGAACTGAACTTCGCCACTAACTTTTGGAGGGGCCTGTTTGCCAGCCTCTTGCCCTGTGACTGTGGCCCCTACATTGAATTTTGGGTTAAAGACCCTGTTTGTGCCTGTTTGGGCTTAGACAGTAACCATTTGAACTTTCGAACTCCTGAACAGTCAACATTCGAACACTTGGCAGCGGCCATCTTGTTTAGTCGAAGGCATCTAGCGATGTTTGGTCGTCGAGTGCATGGAACTCAAATCGGACACTCGACGGCACGAACACGGCTAAACTTTTACCTTCCATGGAGGTTTGGCTATTCGAATGGGAGTTGAACGGCGTTCGGTAAGAAGATGGCCCAGAACCAGAGACATACACAGACTATATCCACGAATGGCTACGTTCAGTAATTCGAACGGTATTTCGACTACTGGAAATAGGTCGGTCGAAAAGAGACTTCCAGGAATTTCCTGAACCCTTGCTCTGATCTTGGTGATTCTTTGGATATGTTGTTCACCCAGATCAGGGCTACCAGGGGATGTAACATTTATGGAGATATGTTGTGTTTTGGGGTACTTATGAGACGTTATAAAATATGTGGATTTTCTGCCTGGAGATAATCGAGTTACATGCTGCACTTTATTCAATTATCTCCAGAAGGGAGGGATTGTGTGTTGTGAGTGGGAGTGTCATACATTTAATTACTGTTCTGATTGGTTTGTAAGTTTTGTGTCCCTGTCCCCCACAAGGTCCATGTGGGCGTATACCTTGCTTGGGGACTTGCATAAAAGGCCAGCTGTGGCTTCCATTAAACACACTCGTTTTACCCTTCATGAAGTCTAGGCTCATGTTTGGGAAATTGGAGAACATTGGTGGGTGGAGGACGGCGAGACTCCAACCAAGCTGAGGTGGTTCATGGGGTTTACAGTGGTTATGGTATTCCAGTGCAGTGCTTATGGTACTCGCAAGTACTAGGAAGCAGCGATTGACAAAGTTACCCGGTCGGAGGGTCAGGCGGTCCGTGACACCAGGAAACCTCAATCTTCTCTGTCAAATGCTGTACACCCCAATAAATGATTGGCTCCAGGTCCTGTGTGTACCCCCTAAACCTAACTAGTGCCACAAGGTTGACTAAATATCTCAAATCTAGTGTGTACTCCCAAACACGAGTTACCCCAGTTTTGTTACTGTGTGACTGCCCTTAGCGGAGATGATTTATGAATGTAGCCCTTTATAATTAAAATTTTGCTATATTAGTACTGAGGTAATTATGCAATTTCAACAATCCCTCACCTCTCCAGTCAGCAGAGAGATCATCTCCAAAGTCAGGTGCAACATCCTCTCAGACATATTTTTATCCTTGTTCATTTTCATAGAGTTGGTCAGATGCTCTAATAATGGACTCTGGTCTTTGCAGGCAGTGAGAAACATAGTGTTGTGCATTCATCCGCTTAAAAAAAAAACCCAACCTGGAATAGTAAAATAAAATAGTCACGTTAAATTCAGACCAAGTGGTAACCTGTAGCAAGAAGGGTAAATGACAGGTATTGCAGATAAAACCTGCTAGTGTCACAGTACAGCGAGATCCATAGATTTACATAACTGCACGTTATATCTGTCATTGTCATGGAATAAAATAAACTAGACTAGTACAGACTCCTCACTCTTGCATCACACACTGTGGCAAACCTAGCCACTTGGGACTGCCTAAGATAGAATGGTTGTGCCTATTTTCTGTTGTGTACTGCGCGCCGGTATAGTGTGGCGTCTCCGGCTATGTTTAATTTATGCTGTACTGTGTATGTCTGTTCGAATCCTCCCCATGCATTGCTATTAAAACTGACTAAGTTGCGGTTTATGTCCTCGTAGTTTTCATTACTGTATGTTACAGCAGGGGCTGTTGGGAGGAGGACCTGGAGGTAGTCTCCCTCCAGTCCCCTCAAACCCCTGCTGCCCATCTTTGGTGTTGAGTGACCTGCTTTAAATATCAGTTATTTTTAATAAAGTGACAGTTGAGTGACCTGCTTTAAATATCAAATAAAGTGGCAGTTGACTCTCAGACTTGAATAAGGGAACATAGCAGATCCAGCAGCTAGTCCTGTTTGCTGATCGTATGATAAAGGAGAATAAACGTAGGTAAAACTGGTGGCATCAAATAATCAGCCATTGAATAAGGGAACTAGAGATCCAGCGCTAGAGGCAATATTTGGGGGTTTAAACCCTTCAGGTAGGAAACTGCCCAGCAACCTTTTGGAACCATAACAACTTAATGATGATGAAGTTGTTATGGTGTCCCGTGTGTTCCTTTAAGCTGCACTCAATTGATACTGTACGAAATATCTACAAATGATATATTATCCTTGATTCTGGTTATTATGAGATTGCCATTGTCAATGTAAAATAAAGGAATATTGTAGAGATTAGCAAACAATGTAATGTTCCCATCATGCCATGGGTAATATCAGCTACATGTCATTACATAACGTCCCATATACCGGCTATCGGAGGGATAACGTCCCATATACCGGCTATCGGAGGGATAACGTCCCATATACCGGCTATCGGAGGGATAACGTCCCATATACCGGCTATCGGAGGGATAACGTCCCATATACCGGCTATCGGAGGGATAACGTCCCATATACCGGCTATCGGAGGGATAACATCCCATATACCGGCTATCGGAGGGATAACATCCCATATACCGGCTATCGGAGGGATAACATCCCATATACCGGCTATCGGAGGGATAACATCCCATATACCGGCTATCGGAGGGATAACATCCCATATACCGGCTATCGGAGGGGTAACATCCCATATACCGGCTATCGGAGGGGTAACATCCCATATACCGGCTATTGGAGGGATAACATCCCATATATCGGCTATTGGAGGGATAACATCCCATATATCGGCTATTGGAGGGGTAACATCCCATATACCGGCTATCGGAGGGATAACATCCCATATACCGGCTATCGGAGATATACCGGCTATTAGAGGGGTAACATCCCATATACCGGCTATTGGAGGGATAACATCCCATATATAACATCCCATATACCGGCTATTGGAGGGATAACATCCCATATACCGGCTATTGGAGGGGTAACATCCCATATACCGGCTATCGGAGGGGTAACATCCCATATACCGGCTATCGGAGATATATACCGGCTATTAGAGGGGTAACATCCCATATACCGGCTATCGGTGGGGTAACATCCCATATACCGGCTATTGGAGGGATAACATCCCATATACCGGCTATCGGTGGGGTAACATCCCATATACCGGCTATCGGTGGGGTAACATCCCATATACCGGCTATTGGAGGGATAACATCCCATATACCGGCTATTGGAGGGGTAACATCCCATATACCGGCTATTGGAGGGGTAACATCCCATATATCGGCTATCGGAGGGGTAACATCCCATATATCGGCTATCGGAGGGGTAACATCCCATATATCGGCTATCGGAGGGGTAACATCCCATATACCGGCTATCGGAGGGGTAACATCCCATATACCGGCTATCGGAGGGGTAACATCCCATATACCGGCTATCGGAGGGGTAACACCCCATATACCGGCTATTAGGGGGATAACATCCCATATACCGGCTATTGGAGGGGTAACATCCCATATACCGGCTATTGGAGGGGTAACATCCCATATACCGGCTATTGGAGGGGTAACATCCCATATACCGGCTATTGATATACCGGCTTCTATCGGCATCGGGTATTAGTGGGGGAAATATATCGCGATATCTCTCTCTATAGAAAGCAAGACACACACCTGCAGCTCCTCCCGCTTTGTGTCCAAACAAGCACCACCGGAAGTTACAAACCGGATATCACATGCGTTCCAAGCCTCGGCATCACTCGCGTGTCCATGGTTACAACGAAATCTCGAACACTCGAGTGTAAAATAGTCAGTAACTGAGTGATTCAGTATACTGGCGTAATGACGTTATGGAAGGGACACTATGTTAAAGGGGGAGTTATGTCTTCTGTGTGTAGAGCTCTGCTGTTATGGGTGACGTCACCGCAGCTGCAGCACATGGCTCAGTGTTATGCTGACATTGTCCATCCCACAGGGATAGTTAATCACAGCCACTACCCACATAATATGGTTAATCACAGCCACTACCCACATAACATGGATAATCACAGCCACTACCCACATAACATGGTTAATCACAGCCACTACCCACATAACATGGATAATCACAGCAACTACCCACATAACATGGATAATCACAGCCACTACCCACATAATATGGTTAATCACAGCCACTACCCACATAACATGGATAATCACAGCAACTACCCACATAACATGGATAATCACAGCCACTACCCACATAATATGGTTAATCACAGCCACTACCCACAGAACATGGATAATCACAGTCACTACCCACATAACATGGATAATCACAGCCACTGCCCACATAACATGGATAATCACAGCCACTGCCCACATAACATGGATAATCACAGCCACTACCCACATAATATGGTTAATCACAGCCACTACCCACATAACATGGATAATCACAGCCACTACCCACATAACATGGATAATCACAGCCACTACCCACATAATATGGATAATCACAGTCACTACCCACATAACATGGATAATCACAGCCACTACCCACATAATATGGTTAATCACAGCCACTACCCACATAACATGGATATTCACAGCCACTACCCACATAACATGGATAATCACAGCAACTACCCACATAACATGGATAATCACAGTCACTACCCACATAACATGGATAATCACAGCCACTACCCACATAATATGGATAATCACAGTCACTACCCACATAATATGGTTAATCACAGCAACTACCCACATAACATGGATAATCACAGCCACTACCCACATAATATGGATAATCACAGTCACTACCCACATAACAAGGTTAATCAGTCACTATCTACATAATATGGATAATCACAGTCACTACCCCCTTACATGGATAATTACAGTCACGACCGACACAAAATGGATAATCACAGTCACTACCCACATAACAAGGTTAATCACATTCACTATCTACATAATATGGATAATCACAGTCACTAACCACATAATATGAATAATCACAGTCATTACCCACATAACAAGGATAATCACAGTCACTACCCACATAATATGAATAATTACAGTCACTACCCACATAAGGATAATCACAGTCACCTACATAATATGAGTAATCACAGTCACTACCTACATAATATGGGTAATCACAGTCACTTCCCACATAATATGGTTAATCACAGTCACTACCCGCATAACAAGGATAATCACAGTCACTACCCACATAATAATCACAGTCACTACCCACATGACAAGGATAATCACATTCACTACCCACATAAGGATAATCACAGTCAATACCTACATAGTATGAGTAATCACAGTACCTACCCGCATAACAAGGATAATCACAGTCACTACCTACATAATATGGGTAATCACAGTCACTACCTTCATAATATGGTTAATCACAGTCACTACCCACATGACAACGATAATCACAGTCACTACCCACATAAAAAGGATAATCAATCATTAACTACATAATATGGATAATCACAGTCACTAACCACATAATATGGATAATCACAGTCAATACCCACACTTTATGGTTAATTAGTCACTACCCACACAATATGGATAATCACAGTCACTACCCACACAATATGGATAATTACAGTCACTACCCACATAACAAGGTGAATGTAGCGGAACTCGGGTAACCCAACCAGTTACCTCCGCTAATTCCTTGACTTCAGACACTCAGGAACCACTCAGTGTGTAAAGGGACCCATTTCCCCCCAGTAACCATACAACACAGAGTCCTGGAGATACAATACAATTTTATCCCACACACACACAAACACACATCCCACAATCCCACAATCCTCCCCCTCCCCGAGGTCCCAGTGCGGGAAGGGACTCCGTTCCCTTTGTCCCCAAAGCCGACCACTAAATCCCCGGGGTTCCCCACACCAACTGCCAGGGGTTTTCTGCCAGGGGTCTTCTTCCCAAGAGCCTCTTTGCCTGGCACAGAAAAGCCCGCCCACGGAAAAAGAGCTGGTCTCTTTGTCCCTCCGGCTCATGAGAGCCAAAACTTGCCAGTGCCCCAGAAGTTCCCACACCAATCTCAGGGATCCTCGCCTCGATCCCTCGATCGACTAGTCTCCGTTTGCGAAGTCCTGGTGTGAAACCCAGACAAAGGAAGAGTCTCCTTTCGGGGTACTAATGCTCCCCCTGGATGGCATTCGTCTGTACGAATGGCGGCCACCCTGGGGAGCACTCATTAATTACTTCCTTTGTGGTTTCACACCTATGTTGCGAGTTGTGAACATTCTATACTAAAATTCTAAATGAGGTATTGTGGTGGTCACTGTTTGGGAGGTGAATTAAGCATTCTGAAAATATTGGTGTGAACGTTCTAATAGGGCATCGGGGAGGCACTCGTTCGGGATACAAACGAGTCAGCAAACAATCCACAAATGCTCCCCCTGGTGGCGTTTGCCTGTACAAATGGCGGCCACCCAGGGAAGCACTCATTAATTGTTTCCTTTGCGGTTTTGACACTTATGTTGCGAGGTGTGAACATTCTATACTAAAATTCTAAATGAGGTATTGTGGTGGTCACTGTTCGGGAGGTGAATTAAACCCCTTGGTGGGAGCTCCCGATCAGGGACCACCACAATACCTCATTTAGAATGTTAGTATAGAATGTTCACACTTCCCAATCACCTTTTTTAATTTCAGAACCATTTTTATTTCAGTACCATTTTTCAATATATTTTATTGAGGAACTGTTTTAGCCTTTTAATTACCTTCCATAATTACTATATATCAATTTTTTGTATTTTTTTCTCCAACATTCAAATGAAAATTATATTTTTTATTTTACTAATATATGTGTTATTATGTGGTGATCAAATAGATATTTGCTGTCTTTTTCTCAATATAAACAATAATTTTTCATGTGTGTACATATAGATTGATTTAATTATATATTTAATATATTAAAATTCTGTTCTACTCCATAAAGGGATGAATAGGTGAATAATTATATAATACTGCCTTTTTGTAATTATTGATTCTTCCACTTTTTTTTCCATTTTTTCCCTTGTTTTTCTCTTTTCCTACTATACTAATACTAATAACGGACTGCATACTTATGAGTTTCTATATGGCCGGATAAAACACATCTCCAATGTAACATGTCAGTTTGCCATTAGTGATGTACCGAACGGTTCGCCAGCGAACGGTTCCTGGCGAACATAGCATGTTCGCGTTCGCCACGGCGGGCGAACATATGCGCGGTTCGACCCGCCCCCTATTCGTCATCATTGAGTAAACTTTGACCCTGTACCTCAGTCAGCAGACACATTCCAGCCAATTAGCAGCACAGCCTCCCTAGCAGACCCTCCCACCTACTGGACAGCATCCATTTTAGATTCATTCTCAAGCTGCATGCTTAGTAAGAGGAGGGAAAGTGTAGCTGCTGTTCATAAGATAGGGAAAAGCATAGCTAGGTTAGGGATAAGGGTATGCTTTTTTTGATTTTTTTTTCTATGTAATGTAAATGCACTTAGTTGTCTGCCACTGCTGCCAGCTTCTGTGTCAGGCTCACAGTGCCCCCATTTCCCAGTCAGTGCCACCAATTACATCTGGTGTCACAATAGCTTGGATTTAAAAACAAAAAACTTTTTTCACTGTTATAGATTGAATAGCAGTCAGTTGTCTGCCACTGCTGCAAGCTTCTGTGTCAGGCTCACAGTGCATACTGTGCCCATTTCCCCAGTCAGTGCCACCAATTACATCTGGTGTCACAATAGCTTGGATTTAAAAACAAAAAACTTTTTTCACTGTTATAGATTGAATAGCAGTCAGTTGTCCTTAAAAGCGGGTGCCTTCGCTAACAGTGGATGCATTTTGACAAGTGCCACTAATTAGATCTGGTGTCACAATAGTTTTGGTTTTAAAAAAAAATAATCTTTTTTCACTGTTATAGATTGAATAGCAGTCAGTGTCCTTAAAGCGGGTGTGTTACGCTAACAGTGGATACGCTGACAAGTGCCACTAATTAGATCTGGTGTCACAATAGTTTGGGTTTGAAAGAAAAAAAATTTTTTACTGTTATAGATTGAATAGCGAATGATGTCCTTAAAGCGGTGTGTTACGCTCCTGGCACGGGTGGATCTTTGGCGGAGAAGTGCCACTAATTTAGATCTGATTGTCCTGGCTGGATTTTAAAAACAAAAACTTTTTTCACTGTTATAGATTGAATAGCGATGCAGTGTCCTTAAAGCGGGTGTATTCACGCTAACGGTGGATATGCTGACGGTTTAAGGTAGATCTGGTGTCACAATAGTTTGGATTTAAAAAAATAATCTTTTTCGCTGTTATAGATTGAATAGCGGTAAATTGTCCTTAAAGCGGGTAAGTATTTAAGCTAACAGTGGATGCAGCTGACAAGAATTGCCATAGTAGATCCTGTGTACAATAGCCCGGATTTAAAACAAAAACTTTTTACTGGTATAGATTGAATGGCAATTCAGTGTCCTTAGCGGGTGTGTGCAGCTAACAGTGAATCGCTGACAAGAATGATGCCACTAATTAGCTCTGGTCTCACAATATTTTGGATTTAAAAACAAAAAACTTTTTTTACTGTTATAGATTGAATAGCAGTCAGTGTCCTTAAAGCGGGTGTGTTACGCTAACAGTGGATACTGTGACAAGTGCC